GGAGTTTTTTTCCTTCTTATGGGGTGGTCACTTTTGGGCCACCCCATTGTATATATTTTTGTTGAGTTTGGCCAAAAAGGCCTAGACATCTTTGAGCCATAGTCCACTTTCGGGGCTATGGCGTATACTTGTAGACATTTGGTTTTGGATGAAATAAATGCACAATTTTAAAAAAAAATCATGAACCTCATAAAGTCATTTACATGTATATGAAAACATAAATCTATTGAGTTAATTAAAGTTTCAAAAATTAACACCAAACTATACAATAAATTATATATATCTTGAATTAGGGTCTAACTTAATCCAAGACGATGTCATTTTATATTAGGCATGTTTGGTTAATAAAAAATATTTTCCTTCAATTTGATGAAAATTATATTTTCCTTTGTTTGGTTCATGGATGAAAAACATTTTCTATAGTTCCCCCTTGATATTTTGTTTTCAATGAAAAACAAGCAATCGTTATATCGTGCACCAGGGTGATGTTATTATTATTATTATCATCGTCATCGTCATCGTCACCCGTTAGAAACTCTTGATCAAGACTTCGTGCGTGCGTCGTGCATTTTCCTCTTGGGACATGGTTGATGCAATCAGAATGAATATTTGCATGCGGCATGTTTTGGGGAATAATGCTCTGATGATGTTATTATTGTTCAAAAAAGGTTGAACCCCAACCCTAAGGGCCCACCCACACCCTGGTCCGACAGAGCATTTGGGAAGATGTAAATTATGGTGACTCAACTGAACATGAACCACAGAGGCTAGACCGGTGCTCACTGCGCACTGATGTTATTATTATTATTATTATTATTATTATTATTATTATTATTATTATTATTATTATTATTATTAATAGTTGTCTCGTGCGATGCACGGCATAAAATTTAAGTACCTTTATAAAATTAAACACTAATCATGAAAATTATTTTGAAACATATTTCTTTAGCAATACAAAATCGGATTTTATATTGAACATCACAACATACTATAACATATATTATAAAGTATTATGTTATTAGGTACCACATCGGATTTTAATATTTCATATAATTTGTATGAGTTAATGAATTTAAAATTAAATACGGAGTAGTATATTTGTTTGAGTCTCTTATGTATTGTATAATATATAATAAATACATCTAATACTTAATAATTATGGGCAAAAAAATAAAATTTAAAGTGAAAACACTCATCACTATTACACGAACCATGGTCTACACAATTGTGTGAATCATAAATAAAAAGTATATTTTTAATGTACTAAAAATAAATTATTTATGTATGTAAAATACATTTTTTTTAAATACATTATGTGAGTATTAAAAGTCCATTATTTTATATAATGTATCTTTAATACAAAAATAATATACTCACAATACAAAAGTAATGTACTTTTATTATATTAAAAAATATACCTAACATTCATGGTCCACACAACTATGTGGACTACGGTCCACACAATAATTTGCCCAGAAAACACATACAAATAAATTTTAGCTTAAAAATTATAATCCAAATGATACCAAGTCAATTTGTAAATATTTTAGTTGGGTCAAATCTAAACATTTAGCCTAATACCAAACCCAAAAGACCAATGTTCATCTTCTGCGTTCTACCATCCTCATTCTCCCGTAGCAGAGTTCATCTTCTATGTTGCTGCGATTCTTTCTGATCCCTTCCTTCATCTTCCGTTCTGCTACGATTCAATATTCCTCCTTCATCTTCTATTTTATTGGGTTCTCCGATTACAACTAACTTAGGAGGTATGACTGAACAAAACTCAGCTACTCCAAAAAAATAACTGGGTCTACAAAAAAGTTAAGTTTATTTCTCCCTTCCTTAGATTATGCAAAACGTTGATGTGTTTATTCTTTTTTTTTTTTTTTTTGACATACAAAGTTTTGCCTCAATTAGGGATTTGAGGATATCTTTAAAAAAAAATCAATTAGTCGTGGAATTAGTACTATATTTACCCAACTCAGTAATCATAATCATAATCAGTTTTGAGACATGTACATATTACTTTAAAAAATGCTATGAACAATTAAATTGTTGTTAATCATTTAAAAAAAAAAAAAGATGAGCTCACCGAACATTTTCCTATTGTATCCCAGATTTGGTAGAGTTTTTTTAAGTAATCTGGAAAATCAGTACATGTTTCAAATTGATTGTTTTCAACGAAAATGAGAGATACAACATATTTTGTCAATATTAATAATCAATTTCAGTAATTTGTTGTTTAAATATATATATATATATATATATATATATATATATATATATATTCATCAGTGCTATATTACTGTACATGCACAATCTTGAAATTTAGTAACTGATTTGATTTTTTTTTAAATTAGTAACTAATTTTTTTTCCTCTCAAAACTGTATTAGAATGATCAATTAAATTGTTGTCAATCATAAAAAAAAAAAAAAAAATTAGTCTCATTCTTAGAAAACCAATAATCAATTTTTTTTTTTTCAGTAAACAATAAACTAATTTATAAAATGAAATGTTTGTTTAATAATTAATTTTGGAATGTAAATGCTTTTAGGGGTGGACCATTCCAACATACATCCTGCTTCTAGGAGTGAGTTTTCTTAAGCACCATGGAAGAATTATAACATAAAATAAGCAACAAAACATACACACACCTCGAGAAAATATGGAAGCTAAATTAAACAAAAAACTGCCCCTGCTCACAATCTGTGTTAACTTCTTGCACGGTTGACTTCATCCCCTATTGATCCTATCTAAAATTATATTATATTATATTATATTATATTATATATATATATGTGTGTGTGTGTGTTTGTGTGTGTGTAAAGAGTTTTAGTTCAATAAACAAGCAAAATTAAACTCAAGAGAGAATGTTAGAAATAGAGTACAGTAATTTTGGTATTATCGCAAAGTCGTCATCTTCATCATCTTCAATGGGCTCAATGCAGCACAATAGGTAAACTCTATTTTCACAGCCTTTAACACAAATAATATACCTGATGGATATATTATACCCACGACCCGACCCGGGGTAGCAACGCGGACCCGAAGCACCACGGTGGAGCCCAGGAGCAACATGGACCCGGCCGGGGGCACCACATTGGAGCCCAGGAGCAACATGGACCCAGGGCACCACATTGGAGCCCAGGAGCAACATGGACCCGGGGCACCACATTGGAGCCTAGGAGCAACGCGGACCCGGCCGGGGCACCACATTGGAGCCCGAGAGCAACACGGACCCGGGGCACCACATTGGAGCTCCAAGCACCCGACCTACGGCACCACGGAGGTGCCCCGACCCGACCTGACCTACGTGGGGCTTGGGTCGGGGAGCTCGGTCCTACCCGAGCTTGGGACCCGACCCGACTGGTCCGCCCGGACCCGGTCAAAATGGTGATCCAACCACCCCCCGATTTAGGGGGAGGCGGTTGGGGGATTTGGTTTGTATAAAAACCCCCCTCCTTATCCTAACTCCTAACAAAGGGCATTCATTCTATATTCTACACTTATTACACACTTTGTCTTACCGAATCTCTGTAATAGCCAATTCTTACGGCAATTAATATAATATACGGTCTCACGGCCCTTTTGCTATATCGTTCTATATTATTTATTATTATTTATTATATCTATTCTTATCCGGATTTAGTGATTCGGGTATACCCCGGGTAATTAAATCCATCAATACCTTACAATTAAAAAATCATAAATAAGGTATGTTTACCTCATCATCATAAAACAGATGTTCATGTATTTTGAACTCTGAAATTCATGTATTTCAGATGTTCTTACTAAAAGAATTCCTATAGCTTTTCTGTTGTGGTGTTTGTATTGCAGTTGAAGGAAGAGTGAAAAGCCAAAAAACAATCATTATTTATAGCCAACTCATTGGGCCCATTGAACCTTATCTGATTTGATACGTTATTGGATTCCCAAAAATGGATTCATTAATACATTAAATTCGAGCTACAGTCTTTTCATTGTAAAGCGAACCGTCAGTCCGTCACATTAGGTATTTGCTATAAATAATTATATTACGCGTGTAACCGCCTTTTTGCTTTACCTCTTCACTGCATTAATGTGTTCAGATTCATTGTATTGTATATTGTAAATTGTCATCTAATATTAGATATTAGATATGAAGTATATTTATTATTTATTATTGAGTACACTATTCAATAAATGGGTACATTGGTAAATGGAAAAATTGATTATAACATCTGAAAACCTAACCCACTACTTTTTGTTGGAAACAGCTAACCCACTACGACACTGCTTAAAATGATTCGTTGTCCAAAAAATGAAAAAAAAAATTGCAATGGACAAAACGTTGTCGTTTCCAATGGGCGGGAAGTGAGCTATTCTTTTATTACCAAAATGTTTCTGCTTTATTATATATTTATTATTAAAATAAATATTTTTATTAATTACTTTATGTAACTCTTCGTTGTCCAATGTTTATTGGATTTGTAATTTTTTTTTAAAAAATATTTTGGTATTTGAAAGGTTATTATATACGTATCAAAATTTTTGTTATAATATATATAAAATTCAGGCCACAAAATTTTCTCTCCAAAATATTTTTATATTTTTTGTGAAGGTAAATCAAACATATTATTTTTAGGGAAAATTGTAAAAAATGCCCCTCTATAATTGACCAATTATCAATGTTACTCCTGAATTATGAGGGTTGTAAATGTTGCCCCTCAATTATTAAAACGGTGCACTTATAACCCCTCCGGCAAAGGATCTATGAATTCCCGTTAGTCAATCGCGTTATACGAGGGTAAATATGTAATTGACTTATTTTTCTTTTTTCTTTATATATTTTCCATTTCCCCTCCTCATTGAGACTGTCACCGATTGAAGACCTCGCACCTGCTACGACCGGCCTCTAATCTCCGTTTCTATTCTCCGGCCACCGACAACCAGGTTTGTCCTTCTTCTTAGTTTCTTCTTCTCTTCTCCTTAACAACCCTAATTAATAGAACATGGGATTTTGCTTAAAGACATGTCTGGGGTAAGCCAAAGCTTTTCATGTTCATCAATGGAGGAGATACGTTGTCATTGTGGTCTTCTTGCACCCGTCAAAATGTCTTGGAGCTATGCGAATCCAGGAAAGAGATATCGAGCATGTCAAAGATATGGTGTAAGTAATTGTGATTGCAAATGTTCATTTTTAAATAATTTTGAATAAACCCTAAATTTAGTGTGTTGGGATAATTGCAGGGGCATGGAAGTTGTCGTTTTTTCCAGTGGTTAGATTTTGATGTGAATGAGCGAGTAGCACAATTGATCAGAGGACTACTTAAACGATTGGATAAGCATCAGAATGAATTCCAGAAACTTGAAATTGAGATGGAAAAGAAGGAGCTTGAGGTGCAGCAACTGAGAGTAGAGATTACTAGGCTGGAATTTTCTTTGAATAACCAAAGAGGGAGAAATATGCTTTTTTTTTTTTTTGGGGGGGGGGGGGGGGGGGGAATTAAGTGTAGGATTAATACTTCCCTTAATTTGGAAAGGGCTGTGGAAATCTGTTATTGCAGGTGATGGTATATTACAGTTGAAATAAATCCACTTTGTATTTTGTATGAAGTGATTGGTGTTTGCTACAAATTAGAGACTAGATCAAAATGAAACTGTATAGGTGTCTAGGTGATGGTGTATATTATTTTGTATTTGAATGAAAAGTGAAGTGAAGTTGTTTATGGTGATTTTCATATTATTCTTTCTTGTTCATGTTGTTGTCTAATAATCTTGTTTAAAAAGCCTTGTTCTAAAGCACAATGTGCTGTTCAAAATCAAATAAGAGACAAAAGTGCAAAAGCCACAAAATATTGCCAAATAGCAAATAGTCAAAAAAAAAAACACAAAATACTGCAAAAAGTCACAAAGGATCATAAGAAGCTGTGCATAATTCATTAAAAGCACAAAATACATAAGTAGAGTTGATTCTGCCCAATTACAAAAGTACTCAATACTGCAAAAGTTTGGCAGAATTCATGCACAAAAAAAAACTGCCAAAGTTAAGCATTCATCTAATTTAATCACAAAAAACTGTCAAAGTTAGGTATAATTCACCAAAAGATGTGCATTCATCTACTTTCACCACAAAAACAAAACTACTTGGACACCTTTATCTAATTTAAGACTGCTTTTTGTTGTTATGCTTGGACACCTTGATCTTCTTCTTCTGTAGAGTTGACAAAGTAACAAATTCTTTTCCCCTTGTAATGGAACATTACTTTCAGATTCTACCCATAACTCATCTGAAATGTACCCATCTGCATGTACCTCATAGTCCCACTGGTCATCTTCTAGATGTTCTACATACATTTCAACCTCTTTATTTTTGGGAATTTCATACATGACACTCAACAGTTCAACATCAGTTTTAATCTGTCTCACTTTAGGATAACTCTTAGAACCACATTTAAACCAAAACTTCACCTTCTTATCACAAAACTTAAAACTTTTTACCAGTTTTCTTAATTTTAAAATACTACCTTCTTCACCGGAGAATTTGTCAAAATACTCAATTCTACCATTCTTATATTCAACTCTAGGTTTTAGCACTAGATCTCCACCATAATACAGTTTGAGAGTGTACATACCAACCTCATCATCTGACAGTAAAGAAATAGCATATATGTACATTAATTTCAAGTCAAACTACTGGGGACCACAAAAACAAAGCTCAATTTCACTAAATCGACATGTTTATTGGCAACACACAGTATTGGGGACCACAAAAACAGCACTAATCTGGGTAGAATAAAAAATTGCTTAATTCACACAATGTTGGGACCTACACACATGGGAGAATCCAGATAACCATCACACATGTTCAGTAAATGATAATACAAACCAGAGAACAACAAACTATTAAGGGGTCCCTACTATTATAGTACAACCATTTATGACAAGTCAGACAACAATCTTCGAATTCCTATTAAAGTATTACTATTCAATTTAATACTTACATCTGGGTGTAGCAGTTAGTCCAGATAGCCTTCGACTAGTCATTATCGCATACTCCAAGCTTCGATTTCCTACCAATTTACTCTGTACTAAATGAGAATTTAAGATAGGGTTAGGGTTTTTAACAATTTCACGAAGAAGAGAAGAAGACAGTAAGAAGAAGTTTTATACTTGTTATCGGCGAACGAACACACGAACGGAAGAAAAGCTTAATGTCGGCGACGGCTTCGGCTTCGTGTCCTTCAATCGTCGAATGGGTTAAAGGAAATAATGTAATCTGTTTGTCTGTATCCTTTTGTCGAATGGGTTAAAGGAAAAGGTTAAAAGCTTTTGTTAAAAAGGTTAAAAGAAACAAATGAAAATTATAAAAAGAAAAAAAGGAAAAATAATGCAATTACATATTTACCCTCATATAACGCCATTGACTAACGGGAATTCACAGATCCGTTACCGGAGGGGTTATAAGTGCACCGTTTTAATAATTGAGGGGCAACATTTACAACCCTCATAATTCAGGAGTAACATTGATAATTGGTCAATTATAGAGGGGCATTTTTTACAATTTTCCCTTATTTTTATGACCAATTATTGTCACAATTATTATCTTTTATGTTTCCGTGGGTGGATTATGGAGTGTGTTGAAACCACATTATTCTTTATTCCAAAAGGCTGAACCCCAACTCTAAGGGCCCCCCACACCCCGGCCCGACAAGGTCTTTGGGAGGAAACCACATTATTCTTTGTTTCTATTAGTGGTGCACTTCATGGTTAGGCCAGGGTAAGAGGGGTTGAGATAGGGGCAAATTATGCCCTGAAAACGTGTTCACCATGAATGGTGAACACGGGTTCAAACGGTGCCGTTTTTACGGGATTTTTTTTTTTTTTTTTTTTTTTTGCTAATGTGGTGTTAACGGCGCGCGTTTGATCAGATTATGAATTTTCTGTTATGAGATTATGAATGTACTGTAAATTCATAATCTCATAATAGAAAAACATTTATTAAATTATGAATTTTCTGTTATGAGATTATGAATTTACTGTAAATTCATAATCTCATAACAAAAAATTAATAATCTCATAACAGAAAATTCATAATTTCATAACAGAAAATTCATAATTTCATAACTGCACATTCATAAATACATGCAATTATGAATGTGCAGACATTAATTTATGAATGTGAAGTTATGAAATTATGAATTTTCTTTTTTATGAGATTATGTTGAAGAAGCTTGCGCGAAGAGGAAGTAAAATCGCAAAATGTGAAACTAAAGAAGAAAAATCACGTGGTTAATTAAGAGAAAAAAAATACAAAAAATAACGGTGCACTGTTACCGTTGAGACCGTGTTCACCGTCCATAGTGAACACGGTTCTATGGCATAACGATCCTGAGACAGGGCGACCCATGCTGTTCACTGGAATATTTGGCCCGCCGAATGCTTATTGTTAAAACTAGGGACGCCAAATTTTCATTCCACCCACAAGCTAGAAATGACTCTGCTTTAATTTTGATGAAAAGCCTAGCTTACCCGTATTAGGGAGTTGGTGATCGAGAAATGTGGTTTTGAATCATTAGACCAAAATTAAAGCTCAAAATTTAATTTGCCATGTTTTCTAGGTTAATTGCATGTTTTAATACGGATCGGAGTATCTATTTTACGTTAACTGCGTCCTTAATCCTGCAATATACATGAATATTGTTGTTTCTAGGCAAAAAAAAAAAAAAAAGGCATGGATTCATCCTTGTTGTGGGTACTAATGAACAAACATTTAGGGGGCGTTTGGTTCAGGTTATATTACATAACCAAGGGAATATAATATTCCAGAGCTTACATTCCTATGTTTGGTTTATATTATCTGAGGGAATATAACATTCTCAGGGAATGAAACATTCCCTCCACATAGGATTTTGAAGGGAATGTGATTCCCTTCATTTTCTTAGGTAATGTAAGATAACCTTGGATATTTATAAATTTTGCCATTTTAATTTTAATTATTTAAAAATATATATTGTAATTATATATTTTTTATTTTTATTACGTTATGTTAGCATATAAAATAATTTTGTTGATTATATTACATACTTCAATTTTAACCAAACACAGGAATCTAACATTCCCTAAGGTAATCTAACATTCCTAGTAATCTAACATTCCCAGCAATCTAACATTCCCTAAGGTAATCTAACATTCCGTGAACCAAACGGCCCCTTAGGGACATGTCCAAGATTTTCTCCCTCCACTAGTATCTAGCGCATGAATAGTCGATGAGCCTTAAATTTAGAGTTCAAACTTATATTCACAATTTTGTTAGCCATGTTTATGCCACAATTATACATATTTATTGTAAAGCAAGTATACCGTGTATTCAAAAAAAAAAAATTTAATGCATGTTTTAATTTCAATAGCTAATTAGTTGAGCTCCCGCGCGTTTTCTACGAAACATTATTTCTTTATTCAATATGATCTTCAAGGTTATTCATGTAAAGTTTGATTTTTTATTCAACAAGATCCTTGTTTTGAAAGAAAAATTAAAGACAAAAAAAAAAACACACACACACACAGAGTATGATAGTTTTATTTTGGAACTTTTGTAGGGTGGGCTGTGATAAGGATTGAATTAATTAGTATTAGTAATTGTTTTTTTTTTTGGGTGGTAAATTAGTATTTAGTACCTAATACATTGTTGAATTGACCATGCATGAAAGTATTACATGGAATGTCCTTGACAAATGAGAATAGTTACGGTTCATTTTGAGCTTCTTCGTATAAAGATATATGGTTAAAATGAGTAAATGTTAAAAATTAATATGATCTTGTTTCTCTTATCTAACAAAAAAATCTATATTGCTTCAAAATTTCCATCTTATCCCCTACTTAAAGGATGAGGGAGGTGATTCATAAGGCTCAAATATATACCAGAGTATAGATTTATTACTAACAAACTAAAATTAACCCAACATGTAGTTCAAGTTGCAAATAAGCTCTATTTGTAGAATAGAATTTTAGGATAATCCGGGTTCAATTTCCATAAATGACAATTCTCTTTGGACCAACTTCTCGGACTAAACTGAGTGAACTTGGACAGAGAAAGACCCGGACTACATTGTGGTTTACACCAAAAAAATAAACTAAAATTTAATTTAGTGAAAAATTATGACCTTATTTAATAAACAAATTTTTGGATTAGTTTTTAGCTGCTTGACACACATTACTTGTTTGACTAAGTCAAGCAGCTAACGTACATGCATGTTTGGTAATTAGTTTTGTTGGTTCAAATAGATGAAAAAACACTAATTTGAATAAGGTTTGCAATTACCGATTTTTTTTTTTAAAAAAGAATATAAATTTTTCCAAAATGCTCTTATACATAACAAATTAAAATTTTTAAAAATTTTAACTGACTATTGGGGATGTTTTGATTTTGATTTTTTTTTTTTTTGAAAGGAGGAGGTTTTGAATTTAAAACCTCCCCATTTAAAATTTTTAAATGATTTATCTCATTAATTTTGTTTTATATTTTTCATTAATTTTAATTTTGATATTTAGTTATTATTGGTTTATTATTATAAAGAAGATTTATTAATTATTATTATTATTGTACATATCAAGTGGCTTGTAGTTCATTGGTATCTGATTGGCCCCTTGTGTGGGATGTTTTAGGTTCGAGCCTTTAGTGAAGGCGTAGATAGTATATATGGGTGTCTCCCTTCCTTTGTAATAAAAATTATTATTGTACATACACATATCCTTATAAATTGTTGAATGTTAATATTAAACAATTAATTTTATTAAACATCTTCTTCTATTATAATAAAGCAGAAACCATAGTTCCCGCCAATTCCAGTCAACACGTGCATGTTCATTCCCAAGCAAAAAAACTGAAATAATTATTATTGGGAATCCGCACAGCCACAACATTTATTTATCATAAAAACATTAATAACATTTATTTAAACATTAATACAATGATTACAACACCTAGAAATTAAAGACGGATAGTTCACTCTCCAATAACAATTAATAATTAATAACTCACAATTATTAGTTTAACTATAAATACAAACATTTGACAGCCAATTCCTCAAACTTAAAGTTCTGCCAAAATCCTCCAAATTGTTGTCGAAATGGACAGAATGAGAAGAGCTCCAAAGTTTCATCCAGATGCATAACCCACAATCCAAGATCTACAAAATCCAAAGCCCAGAATTCAAAGGACTTCTATGGAAACTACGTCCATTTCCTCCTTGAACAAATGATGAGTTCCTTGAGTTTGAACTAGTACTAGAAGAAAAAGCACTTTGATAAACAGGCATTCCTTTAAGATCACAGCAGATAAATCAGGAGATTAGGAACTGCATCAGCCATGAAGAAATTAACAAGTTTTACAGTTACTGGCAAAAAGAGGAGACATCTACCTGATAACAAAGGTTAGTACACAATGTATCTTTTTTCTTTTTCTTTTTTTTTAATTATTATAAATGCACTTAGAATAACTTATTAGTACAAGAAATAAATAAATAAACAGATTAAATTAGTAGAATAACAGAAAACAGATTAGTGAGGATGGAGATCACCGCAACATACATAAATTTGAAAACTGCGATGACATGACCTATAACATGGTAAAACATTTTAAAAAATCACGAACTGAGATGTGCTGATCAGAATTGAAGTCTCCAAACAACAGTCCAACAACATATAACGGAAATGTGGACAACAAAGGTAAGTAAATTCATATTTTTGTTCAGAAATTTTTACAATACTAAGAAAAAAGTTGACAGATGCAATATATGAAAAGCAGTACAGAGTATTTTACAATACTAAGAAAAAAGTTGACAGATGCAATATATGAAAACGAGTAGAGATTAGTGTATTGAATAATAAACTTATCTTTTTTGAAGCATAGTCGAATATCTTAGAAAACTGCATGCAATAGAAAAAAACAAGTTAGTAGGGTATAATCTGAAATTCGAAATACATAGGAAGAAATTGGATGAATTTTGAACTACAAAAAGAAAATGAAGCTTAGACGTAAATTATATATTGACATTCATCAGTCTTTTCAAATCATTTTTTTTTTTTTTTGCATTTGTTGTATTAATTAATAATAATAACAAATCTGTGTTTACAAATATAGTTAAAGTTGATTATAAACAATAAATAGTTAACAACAAATTATTTGAATGTTATTCGATCATCTAAAACACAGAAAACAACACATGCACTAGAAGATCTGACAACCAATTAACATAGTCAACTAAAAATCGGAATCATTTTAGGATTATTTAAAAACCATGGTTAATAAAAATTATTTCAATGGTATTTGTTCATCTAAAACTACGAAAACAACACATGGAATAGAGGATGCCAACTAACAAACATAGTCCAAAAAAACATCTGATCGGAGTAGTATGAAAGATCAAAGAACCATCGGAGTATTATGAAAGATCAAAGAACCCCTAACATCCTACAAGTTCAGTTCAAATAAGTGGCATATTCAGGAACAAGTAAAAAAAAAAAAAAAAAAAAAACAAAAAAAAAAAACAAAAAAAAAAAAAACAAAACAAAGACCAAATCAACAACCCAAGCATACACTAAAAAGAATACAATTAGAAAAAATCAAGAAAAAACAGAATCATGGGCAAAAACAAAACCTTGATGAAAATCGAGTCCAATCATGGGCAAAAACCAAACCTTGACGACAATCGAGTCCATAACGAGAGTCAACAACCTTCAGATTGCTCCACTAAACTCCACTCTGCTTAGATAACGTTCCAGGTGAACTGGAAAACAACAAATATGTAAATAAATAAATAAATAAATAAATAAATAAAATAAAATAAAATACGGGATGCAAAGAAACGTAAACCTAGATTTACAAAAATTCTTCAACGAGCAAAGTGATAGGAACGGAAAAGTTCAAACAGAAACTGAAAGATTTTACCGCAAACTGGCGATTCCATTGAAACCCCAAGTTGTCCGAACCAGCTTAGCTAGGAGATTTTGTCTAAGGCCATGTTTGGTTATCGGCGGATCCGAATATGTTTGGTTAGCAGCGGTTCGCAAACGCTGCAAAATACAGCGTTTGCGGTTAGCATTTTGGGGAAAATTAAATTTTTCCCAAAACGCCCCTGTTTATTAAAAAAAGGAAAAAAAAAACTTTAAACTTGTATATGAGGAGCCGAAATGGCTCCTCAATGTTGCCCATTTGGGATGGGCAACGAATGAATTCATGGAGCCTTGAGGCTCCTTAAATAGGAGTCTCAAGGCTCCATTCCCACTTTTCCCACCGATGTGGGACGGTGGGAAAAGTGGGAATTCAAGGGCCAAGAGGGGAGCAGCAAGCTGCTCCCTTCTTTCTTTCTTTTTTTTTTTTTTTTTTTTTTTTTTTAAAATTATTTATTTATTTATTTAAATTATTATTATTATTATTATTAATTATTAATTATTAATTATTAATTATTAATTATTATAAGGGTATATATGTCATTTTACATGTTAACCGCTAATTTTACCAAACACTTTTTTATAAATCGCTAATACAATCTGCTGGTCAAACACGCTAATACAATCCGCTATTTGATAACCGCTACCGCTAATCACTAACCGCTGATAACCAAACAAGCCCTAAGTAATCTAGAGGGGAGGAGATGAATCGTCTGCAGAAATGGTGTAGGGTTTCTTATTGGGTAGTTATAGTTGGGGTATTGGGCTCGGGTTTTGGGCTAAAAATTTAGTGAATCATCAATAGAATTTTGGTTTGGGCTCAGCATTGAATAATATACTTAGGGGGGTGTATTCAATCAAGATTTTTAAAGAGTTTCAAAGACTTTTAAAGTGATGGATTTTAAATGACTTTTGTAGAGATTTTGTAGACTTTCATAGAATCTTTTAAACTTTCATCAACTTCGTAAGAGTCTTTAAAAATTCATAGGACAAACATTTATAGACTTTTAAAAACTTTTTCATATTAAAAAGTCTACAAAAGTCATTAAAACTCTAAATTGAATACACCCTTACAAACATTTCATAACTTTTATTAATATACTATTTATAATTTTTTTACAAAAATATATTTTTATAAACCATTAAATACTCTCCTCAGGTGCCCACAATGCATAATTTCCATTAAATTTATTTTTACCTTTACTCTTTTCTTGATCCCCCATTACTATAAAACAAATAAGAATCTCTCAAAAAATTCAACTTAACACAAATACATATATTAATAATTAATGAACAATAATAACATAAAATTATGTTAATTATATAAAACGAATTTGTAAAAATTTGAGTATATTAATTCTACTGGTTGCTTTCAAAAAAAAATCTACTGATTGTAACAAAAATTTATAGAAGATTTCTGTTGCGAACAGCAGCATAACACCAGATTTAAGCAGATTTAAAATATGCTGCGAACAGTAGCAAGCTGCTGCTATTCGCAGCATGTTCGCTGCTGCGAACAGAATTAAGAAAAGCAAAACAAAATTGCATAAATAAAAAAAAATTATAAAGTATAGTATTGTGAAAAGTTTGAAACGTACCGTAAAATTTGGTAGAAATTGATGAAGAATTTGTCTGGTTTAGATAGAGAAAAAAGTCTGTAGAGAAAATTGAAAAGTTTGGGGTTGGAGGGTCGGATTTCATCTATTTATATTAATGAAGAAAAAGTCTACAGAAATCCTATTCTGATAGAGTCTATGAAAGTTGATAAATATTTGAATACCAGTAGACTTTTAAAGACTCTATAAAAGTCTGAAATGAATACCAGTATACTTTTAAAGACTTCTGAAAAGTCTGAATCGAATACCGGTAAACTTTTAGAGAGTCTTTAAAAGTCTAAATTGAATACCCCCAAACTTTGAAAGTCAGTAAAATTCTTTAAAACTCTTTAAAAGTCTGGATTGAATACACCCCCCTTAATTATATCAATATGAATTCAGGGCCTAATCTAATTACATTTATAGTAGAGAAAATGACACTTTCCCCCCCTGAGTGATATACTTATAACATTTTTCCTCCCTGAATTATTTTAGTGGCTCTTTTTCCCCCCTAAAATGTTAAATGGACATATTTACCCTTAAAATAAATATATCATTTATTTTTCTTCTCCAACAAATTATTACTATAATTTGGTTCAAACCAAACAGATATTATAGCAACCAAACCAAAATATTCTAATTACAATTTAGAATCAAAACGCGATATTTAGAGTTTATTAAAATCGCAAATTGGAATGACCGGTTCATGTTCCGAACTGAAAAAATAAATTAAATTTATTGTTGAATTTAGACCATTTTAAAATAAAAAATAAAATAAAATTTTAAAATAAAGATGGTTCAAAATCACGAACCAGATTCGGAACCGCTGGTTCACGGTTCATGATCCAGTTTTTTTGGTTCATAAATTTAATAAATTGAAATCTAAATATTGGATTCTAGATCTGAATCATAATCGAAAACTTTTAATTCGATTGCTATAGTGTCCGATTCAGTTCGAACCGAACCGTGGTCATTGCTACATATACACAATAATTTGTTGAAGAAGTAAAATAAATAAAATGTTTACTTTAAGGATAGAAATGTCAATTTAATATATCAGGGGGGAAAATCACCACTTTTAAAATAATTGAGGGGCTAATGTGCTTACATAAATAATTGAGGGGGGAAAAGTGCTATAAATATATAACTTAGGGGGAAAAAGTGTCATTTTACATAGATAAACTTTTTAAAATGATAATATTATTGGAAACCTATATTACATAAAAAAAAAAATACCAAGACTATGTGGTCTAATGGTACCTGAGTTGGACTTCTATTTGGAAGGTTGTGAGTTCGAGCCTTAGTGGAAGCATTATTGGTTCTTTGTGTTTTAGTAGGTTGAGAAAGTATGGACAATTACTACATTGTAATAGAGCCAGTAGCATTAAAAAAAAATATTACATAAAAAATAATTAAAATATTTATAAAATTATGTCTCATGCTTCACCCGGGTATCAATTGGTTAAATTATTTGTAGAGTTTTTAAATTAAAATTAGATCGTTAGTATCACAATTTTTTTTTTTTCTTTACATGTAAAAAACTTCCACAATCAATATCTTTTATAAAATATGCTTTATGTTGATGTTAAAATTACTTAACTTATTTTATATTATTATTATTGGTTTTATTGTTATTATTTTATTATTAGTATTAGTATTCATATTATTATTTTTATTATTACTGTTAGTAGTAATTGTATTCTTAAAAGTTTTTAATTACTGTTATTATTATTTTAATGAAATATTCTAAAAATATTTTATATACCGTGCATTGCATGTGTAAAATACTATCTTTTTGTCTTATAAAATGAAAATTCACAACCGAGTGCAACTATTAGTTCAAAGGATTGTCAACCAATGATTAACTGTGAACACGCCAAAAATTCAATTGACTCGTGGTACTTTTGTAGATGCTTATGTTATTTATTTTTTATTATATAATAATTCCGAGGGTTTTAAGTTTTAATTTGTGACGAACGTGGAGGATTTTTATACATTACTAAATAGGTTATTTACAAAGAAATTTGTAATAATATGTAATTTTAGTTATGTGCAATGTTATAAAATATTTTTACTTTTATTTGCTATTATCTGAGCCTTTACTATTTTTAATTGTAACTCTAACAATATGATCGTGCATCGCACGAGTGATATACTAGTCTCTTATAAAGACAAATTTGTATTTTCAAAGAAGCAAAATAACACCAAGACTATGTGATCTAATGGTACCCGGGTTGAACTTTCATTTAGAAGGTTATGAGTTCGAGCCTCAGTGGAGGTGTTATTGGTTCTTTGTGTTTTAGTAGGTTGAAAAAGTATATTAATAGATACTACAATGTAATAGAACTAGTATCATTCAAAAAAAAAAAAAAATGACAACCCTTTTAGCCTAAATCAGAATCCTATATATAATAAAGCCATATGGTCTTGTGAAAATTAAATGTTGCATTTAATTTTCAAAGACCATATGGCATAGGGCTTTATTATATATAGGATAGGATAATAATAATAATAATAATAATAATAATAATAATAATAATAATAATAATAATAATAATAATAATAATAATAATAATAATAATAATAATTCCTCCTTAAAAAATTTTGCATTTAATTTTCACAAGACCATATGGCTTTAAGAAGCATGCATGCAACCCCAAAGTCCATAAGTTTGAAATTAATATATAGCATAGCTAGGTGGCCTAATATTTAAGATCGTTGATGTGCATATTGAGGACTACGGAGACAAAGATGCGTTATTCGTGGATTCATCGGATACTATCCAACAACACTCTCCAACTTAATTGACGTGAAGTGGGCTTAATAACATTAAGATTATATTCTCGAATTATTAGTTCTCATCTTTTATTGATTACACACTTAATTCGATAGTATTTGGAAGAAAAAAAATCAATGTTCGAACTAAGATTGTGATTTTGGTCTTTAAAGGTCAATTGTATGTTGCTACATCTAGAGTTAGAAATCTCAAAGGTCTAAAAAATTTTGATCCGTGGTGACTCTAAAATTGTAATTCAATTAGTATTGTAGTTTACTAAGTTCTTAAAAATTTGTAATATTAAATACTATGTACTAAATTTTTAATATAGTTTAAGATTTGTAGTAATCACCCACCTTAAATATTATTTTAATTGTAAATATATTTATGTTCATAATTTTATCATAGTAATTCACACATAATAATTATTAAATAACAAAAATTTATATATGAATGAACCTCATATAGAGTATATTTTTATAATATATTTTTTGTGCATTGCACGGACAAATACTAGTTATATATAATAGAGGAAATTTTAATTTTGGTCACATGACTATAGGGTCTTGTTAATTTCAATCATTTGCTTTTAAAAGTCTTAATTTAGTACCTTAACTATGCAATTTTTGTCAATTTTGGTCACTCCGGCCAATTTGCCGGCCAAATTTCACCGGACAATTTTAATTGTTAAAATAATGAGGGTATTTTGATCATTTCACGCCTTTTTTTTTTCTTCACAGGCGAGTCCATTCCTTCCTCCCCCGTTCCCGGTGAATGCAATGAACTAAGATGATGGGGAAATGAGACTTGATGATATTAAAGATAGGGTTTAGAGGGAGAAAGACAACCTTACCAAAAAGGACTAAGGGGGCGTTTAGTTCACGAAATCTTTGATTACCACATGTAATCCTATTACATGTGGGTAAGTATGTGAGATTTTATGAATGTAAGATTACCTGATGTGTTTGGTTAAAGTTGTAGGAATGTAACATTAACTTATTTGGTTGAAGGTTATATTTTAGATTACATTACATCAATTACTTAAATGCCCTCATAGAAATTGAAAGGTGTAAATTGCAATTTTTTTTTAATAATTCAAAATTTAACAAGTTGCTTCTAATAATAATAATAATAATAATAATAATAATAATAATAATAATAATAATAATAATAATAATAATAATAATAATAATAATGCAATGTGTAATTCAATAATAATAATAATAATAATAATAATAATAATAGAATGCGTACAATTAAGATGCAATTCAATAAAAGAGAAATAAATGAGGGCAGTTTTGGAATATTGAAAAGTAATTTCACATTACCTAATCAAAACTTGGTAACCAGATTACCTCAAATATACTCTCATATCCTACGTGGCGGTAATCTTGTATTATTTACCCTCTCAGATTACCTAAACCAAACACGGTAATCTAAGATTACCTTACTCAGCTTACCAAGGTAATCTGAGATACCTTGAACCAAACGCCCCTAAGGGTGTTCGTTCGGTTAGCCGAATTGTTTTAATCAAAATTTTAAACCTTTAACCGTGAATTGAACCGAAGTGTGTGTTACCGAATTAATCGAATCGGATTTTTTTTGATTAATCGATTAACCAAACTTTTTTAAACTAAAATTTAAAATCTTCAAAATAAAACCTATAATAATACGTATAATAATAAATTCAATTAAAATAACGTATACTAATAATTTTGATTTCTAATTTCAGTGAGAGACGATAGCAGTAGGGTTACATACTTATATTTAACATAATATTATATATATATATATATATATATATATATATATATATATATATATATATAACTTCGGTTAACCGATACTTTCAAATCGAATTAACCGTTAACTGAAGTTTTAAAAATTCATAAAACCATTAAATGAATTGAAAAAGTTCGGTTAAAAACGGTTAATGCAAAATTATCCAAAGGTTACACACTTCTAAAAGGAACCTGTATAAATTCTTGGAGATTAGTTTAGAGGAAGAGGAAGCCAATATTGCCAACACAATCAGAAAACATGCATACCTATTCTATTTATGGTACACTGAGGGGCGCAACAATGCTGCAAGGCCGATCGAGGACCAATATCGTGCATTAAAAATTGAACTTTGACAATGAAATTAAATTAATTATGAAGAGCTAAAACCTATATTCATATATAGTAAGCAATCAGTTAACAATAGAAATCACATATATTGTCCAACACCAAAAATTTTCATGACAATCAATATTTCTTCCAATGTCATTAATAGTCACAGGTTTGAATGTCATAAGACTATTAACATGGCCTTTGGTTGGAAACAAGGAATTATGAGGGAAAGAAATTAAATTGTAGTTCGATAGGGAAAATTAAGGTGGGGAACTAAAAAAAAATGATAGGGATTAAAATTACGTAGTTTGGTAGGGAGAAATATAATTATTAGAATTGAAAAGTGAAAAAGTGATATAAAGACTAAAATACTCATGTGTAATAATAATAGTAAGGAAAAACGGCACTTTTGACCCCTCAATTGTTTAACTTTTAGAAATTTAGCCCCTGTCAATTAATTTGAATAAATCTAGTCCTTTAATTGTTAATAATGTACCACATTTGGTCCCTCGGGGTTGCTTTGACTATTGCTCAGCCGGGCACAACATGGAATCCAGGCAGGCACTTAAGAGCTTGATGAATTATAAATCTATTTGCAGTCATGATCTTTAAATTGTGAACTCTATTCACAAATTTGGTGAATTTTAGAACTGAATACTCAACTAATAATTATTTTTTTATTTTTTTTTAAAAAAGTTATTGAAAACAACTCAAGAGTAAATATTCAGTTCTGACGTTCTGTAATTGTAAATATATATTTCTTTAATTGTGAATATAGAGTTATACAGCTCGGTAATTTTTTGTATCGAGATTTAAAATTATGAATATTCAATTCTAATATTGTGAGTATAGAATTTAAAAATTGTGAATATAGAATTCAAAAATTGTAAATATAACTCAAATTCACTTTGCAAAGTGGACGCAGGTCTACAACCTATGCCACCGACTCTCATGTTGAGCTCATTTAGAGCAGAGGAATTGAACCGGACCATTATTTTTGTTTTTGTTTTTTTAATTGAATTCAATTTTATTTTTGTTTTTTATTGAAGACAAATGTTTTTTTTTTTTTTTTAATTTTATTTTTTACAACTGATCCTTTGTTCTGTGTTAGGGGTATGTTGGGGCGAGAAAGCCAAGTCTCAATTTGGATGATAGACTTTTTTTTTTTAAATACTATTGGCTCTATTACAATGTAGTATCTGTTCATATACTTTTTGAATGATAGACTTATTGCATTGGAAAGAATAACTATATATATATATATATATATATATATATATATATATATATATATATATATATATATTAACCTTTTGAGCATAATTTTCAAATTAGTCAGCTATTATTAATTTTAAACAATTAAGTTCTCAACTATTAAATTCATACACAATTGGTCTTTTGTGAGTTACCCTTGTTAAATGCAAGGATATTTAATATTTTCATCAAATTGGTTACAAATTTAATAATAGAGAACTTAATTTGAAAAATTGATAATTGATGACTAATTTGGAATTAATGCATGTACATACATTCCGTAAAGTGCGGATTTTATCCGCCAGTGAAGACGAAAAGTGATTTTAACTTTTGAGTTCCTACTTTTCGGATTGTACTTCACATGCATAAATTATATTTTTGCTTCTTACTTTGCGTTTTAACTTTCAATAAATATTTTGTAAATAAAGTTAAGTTAGGAGATTTATCTCTCCGCAATTTTTTTCCTAAAGTTAATTCATGTGATTTTTCTCTCTCATCATTTTTAATCAAACCTTAAAATAATATTTAACTTCACAATTCACAAATATATTATTTAATAACCTTAATAACATGTTTGAAATACTCAAATACACCTTTACTATATAAATCTTCAACATATATCATCATTTAATCCTTCAAAAATAAGAGCAATTTTAAATTTTAAAACAAAAATCTTTTCTTAGAATTGGTGAAAAAATTAAACTTTTATGTATAAACGACATATGTATACAACCAAATACGATCATAAACGACAAGACAAAGTATACGGGGTGATAAATCTAAGACTAAATAATTAAAATCTAAAATTAAACAAACATCCAATTAAGAATCAATTATCAAAGTCATTACAAATTGTAGACCAACTTCAATACCCTATAGCCTAATTTTCTTAAATTTGTAAACTACTAATACTATTTAATTCAATAGATGCGACAAACGAGTTACAGATCATGACGATATACATACACAAACGCAGAATTCCAAAGTAAAAAAGTGACAGTGCAAATCACGACCATAGGCACCACAGGCACTAGGATTGGTTCACCTTTTATATATTTCTCAATGAGGGTACCAACGGCAATGATTAAGCATACATTCATAAGAAATGTTAAAAGTATGTGACGGAACCAACGCCTAAACGGATCGGACACAAGAGGGTCGTCGACCTGATATTTGAATATAACAATTAGCTTACAATGAAATAAAAGAACACAAATTCAAAAAAGTTTACTTCTAGTCTAGGCAATAATAATAATAATAATTTTATGAGATCGTCTCCTAGATTTTAACATGTAAGACGTGTTGAAGCTAAGATAGTTGTCTCCTACTTATGATATAAATTATACGGAGTAATACTTATTATAGAAAATTCAATACCAATTTCAAATCAAATAAAATATGCATGCATTGTATTATTTATTGTAATATTTACCGTGTCATCCGTTAGTGTGTCATCCATTAGTGACTCAGGATCCACATCTATTAGAGGATATTCAACCCCCTGAAATGAAAATACACAAATTAATAATATTAATCTTTTCAAAAAAAATAATATTAATAAAAAATAATATTAATAAATTAAAAAAAAAAAAAGTACTAACATCTTGTGTAGCTTCCTGGTCAGAGGCATCCGAGAGTTCCTTGATTTCCTGAACCCAAAATATTTATAACAAATTTTTATTTATTAAAATTCATAGTGATTTGTACTTGATGGGATAATTGGATGAATTATACAAGTTTAAGGTTCAACTTGGGATGATTGAGGACTTGAGGCAGCATAAGGCTGGAAGTCAACCAAAGCAATTAATGCAAGGTCCATTGTGTTAGTTGTCAACCCAACCAATTAGTACAACAACTATATATCATGAGCGTCACTCTGACAACTAACACGGACGATCGGCGATCATCG